CTGAGTTCCGAAAAGGATCAACAATCAGGTTTTTTTACTGTGTTTTGTTAGACTGGCTGTTTCTGGCAATCTCTCAGAGTTTGTCTTGCAGTTGTGTTTTCTGCTTGGCGCTGAGGAGAAGGTGTAGCTAATTCAGCCTGCAGCTGTTCTTTTGCTGCCTGGTGTGATGAGAGCATCCTGTTGTGACCTTCTCCAGGGGAATCCACTGCCTCCTCGTTTGCTGCTGGCTATGATTCAAGAGGCTGATTGCTAGCTGTATCACTTCTGTGAGCTGTAACTAGAACAATACCTTCCTTTCCTATATTTCAGAATGAACCACAAATTTAAAGAGGCTTAAAGGTTCAAGGTAACTTGTAGGAATGTAGGAAACTTGTAGAAGCGCTTCTGCTTGGAACTGCCTGTTTTGGTGTCCATGGTAGAGCCGTGGTCTTACGCTGTCCCTCATGGTGTGCAGTGGAAGGTTACTTTTTGTTCAGCCCCAGCAGTTCATTATTGATTGACTCACTGAACAGAGATATAATTTGTAATCGCAGGTGCTCAAGTAATTTTTAAACAGTATCTAGAAGCTATATGGCTAGCTGTGTTGTCATGCTAGTTTTCACTTTGCAACCCTGCGGTTCGCAGCATAGATGTCTTCTCCATAGCTGCATAATAATTTCTTCTATCTGAGAGCTGTAATAGAAAAACTGCGTGCTTTGTGGGGATTATTTTAAGTGAAAGACCATGGCTACAGATGGATATGTGCAACTTCATTAAAGCTAGCTAAATTGAACAAACTAAATTGTGAAAACCCAGCAATTGAAAGTTACACTGATAACCCATTCAAATATTTTCATTTATTCAGTTGTTTGCAGGACAGTAAAGTTTGCTGTACTTTGATTTTGAACTGTAGCAGTTTGTGACCATGCCATATTATTGATTAGCAAGGAGACCTAGCTTCATCACTTCAGTCTTCAGCCTCTGATTGACAGAAAGCCATTACTTGGTAGGGGCTTCATCTCAGTTGTCCTCTGAATTCCTTCCCAACTATCCTTATATCTCCATACTGACAACACAGGTAACCTGAGCTCCTTCATTCAGGCACTCCTAATCTTGAGAGGTGGCTAATGGCTCTTTTTTCTTAATTTTATTTGTGTTTTGTTCTTAAATGAAAGTCCATTCTGACACCACATGACTCCATGATCTAAGGCTCCACTATTATGATGTAATACTACAATCCTGATTTGACAGCTCTTTTGGGCACCCAAAAACTAAGAACTCCACATTGAAAGAACTTCTTGATTCCAAGAGTTTCAATGTACAACGTGTGTGTTGTCGTACTTATTAATGCTTCAGCAACTGAGAGAATTAAAACATCTCCAAATAGGACTCACATCAAGCAAAAGCTTGATGGGAAGCTGGCAAAAATATCCAAGTGAGAATTCTTATCAGCAAGGTGCAATTTAATACATTCTTCACTTCTCTAGGACCAGGGAAGCTGTATCAGATTGCAGTTTACAGCCAAAACCCACTCCTAGGGTTTTGGAAATTGGCGGCTAGTATATACTTTATTTTTCAAATGTTGCTTTGACAGGAAAAAAACACCTTTTATGTAAGACTGCAGGTTAAATCTGGGCACTGACCTTGGAAAAGAAATCCTGAGCACAAGTTCTTGCTTGCAAGTCATGTCTGGTTTTGTGATTTATTCATTCTCTTCCTAATACAACATACAAAGAATCTTCTGGAATCAAAACACAAAAAGTCATTCTTGCAGGATAGATCTAAATGCTTCATGTCAGTCAGATGCAGATTTGGATTCCTTCAGGTTGGATACAGATAGGCAGGTAGCCTAGGGGAGTGGCCTCACCATTGAGTTTCTCTTATAAAACACCATTATACTGCCTTTCCCTCCAGCAGTGGATTTGAAGAAGGTCAGCTGTGGATGATTTTTTTTAAAGTCAGTGCTGTTAGCACATTAGTTATTTTCTGACAGTTCTTACTGGGTAGAATCTTAGGTATACAGACCTAGATTTGGCCTAGGTACATGCAGAAACAGCATTTTAGGTGTCATGGCTGCTTTACTGGAGAAACTACAGGTGCTTGCAGCTTTTCAGCCAGCTGAGATGGTGTGTGAGGCAAGATTTTAGACAACATTCTTGACTTAGAAATACTCAGTTTCCACCTGAGCCCCAGGGAAGGTGCCCATTTCAGAAGTCTCTTTCTGAGTAATCCTTTCCTCAGAGGAACTAGTGGATGCAGTTCGGCATAGTCGTCATCAGGTGCCTAATTTTCGTTCATGAATACTCTCCACATTGGTGGAACTAATGTCCTACTGTAAGGTAACATATATTTAAGTGACATTTTAGCCGAGAGTTTATCCCAGGCAGAATTACATCCTAATATCCTGCATAAATGCAAAGCTGTCCAAAGCTGTTACACTACCCAGACATCTGCAGCAGGATAGTTGCAGTACTTTTGGGCAGAATACAGTATTCAGGTTTGGCTCTTCCTCATATGCCAAAAAAACCCACAAAATAGCAGACTATTACTATGCTTTTTCATAACTAATAAATCGTAATCTTGCCGGTTTGTCCAGTCTATCATCAGTCTGCATCCAGGAGTAGCCATGTAATTGTGTTGACATCATCCATTTTTTTGACTTGGTAAATACCCACAGCTTCATATGCTGTGCACTGTCAGAAACACTAATGTACATGCCAAAGAAATGAGAGAGAAAAGAGACAGGTTAGATTCAGAGGTGAGATATGATTTAAAGGAATCTTGTTTCAGTGTCCTAATGGATATTGTTCATGAAACACACATATAACATTTACAGGCAGCCAACCTTTTCTAGTACAGAGGAGCATGAAAAGACAAATAGCTTTTTTTAATAGCAAAAAAAAAGCAAGTATTGGCTAAGAAGTACTGTTTATGGTAATTGAGCTTTACAAGGAAGTAAAACTTGGTGGGGAGCACAGGGGGTAGCATTTGCCATGAAGCAGGTAATAATAAGGAGAGCTGTGTAGGCATTTCCTGATTAGCATCTGCTGTTCCAACAGCTGAAGAACATGACTCGCATGTATATGCTTGTGCTAGGCTTTAGCAGGCGTTCCCTCTAGCAAGCCACCCTGCCTTCTGGTTTTATTCTGAGTCTCCTTGAACCCTACTGTGATTTGAAATCAGTGGAGGAGAAAGGAGAGTGACACAAACAACAGATGTCTGAAAGTCTTGGAACAGAGAGAGAAAAAGCCCCGTGGCGAAGGGTGCAGTTAAGGTATCCCCTGCAATTAGCTTTCAGTGGTGCCTCTAGTACAGACCACATTTGCATTTCTGCATGTGTTTATAATACAGCAGTGCACATAGGTGGTAAAGAAGTGGTAGTGCAAAAAGATGGCCATTGCACACGTCAGAGAATGTTTGTTGGACCCTGTAGATGAATGTGACCTATAGACACTCATTGTACTTACACACAAAGCTACTCATTTTAGGGGGGTTCACAAATTATTTCCCAGCTGCTGCAGTAACTGCCTTTAGTCTGTTGCTGGAGAAAATACACTAATTCTTTTTATTTGAGGTTGAAAGTGGCTCCATAATTGAGAAAGCAAATAGTATGCCTGGTGTCTGTCAAGACAGCTTAGCTTCCAGGTGGTGACTTAAGCCATGGCAGTACAAATACTGTGTACCTAATGTAACATTAGGAGAACTTGGTCGTGCACTAAGTGAAGTTTAGTGCAGATTCAGAAAAACACCATCTGTGCTTTCTGGTATGGGGAACTGTGTCTTTAAGCAGTTTGATTTCCAGAAAAGAAAACCGTGACAGCAACAGCAGTGAAATTCTTACAGTATATAGGCAGCTGGGGATGGCATAAAGACCCTGAAAACACATTACCTGCTGAGTGTTAACTCAGTGTTGCATGGGGCCAGGAGAAAAAAGAAATGGAAAAAAAAAAATACTGTGAATGGAGAAGTGAAAATCTATGACATTTCCAGATTTTTACTTCTTGGGAAAGATAATTGAAAGAAATATAAATATAAAACAAAGGATTCAGGGGTGAGAACTTTGTGCTCTGAAAGCTTTGCAAACCACCTCCCACTTTCTCACATCTATCTCCTTCTTTTATGATGGGACTATTTTCCGCAGATTTCAGCAGGTGGGTCCAAAGCCTGAAAATCACATCCAAAGAGAATCTTGTTTTTTCATGATATTTTAAATGTGATTTTATTTGCTTGCTACCTTGCTGGGTTTTTTTCCAAAGGATTTGGGGAAACTCTGTCTCAATATATGTTCACAGTGTTTATTTAGTTGCTGTTAATTGTGTTATTAAAACAAAAATAAATTAATTTGGCTACTGGGCTCCAGAAGTTTATGCTTAGGTAAACCTTAGTAAAGAGTTTAGTACAACTGCTCTGTTACAGAATGTGGCTTCCAGAAGCATTACCAGTATTGGGATGAACAGCGGGGATGTCAATAGGAATTACATTTCTTTGTACAGAAATTTGTACATCAAAATAGTGTCTTTCTGGGGTGTTTAAGGCTTTGTGTACACTGGGAAATGATATATATTTTAATGTGTTGGAAGCAACAATATTTAAGCATCAAATATCAGTTGTCATAAACCATAGAGGGAGTTTGTTACATTTAGTATGTTAAAATGGAACAACAGTTTTCTTATTAGTGCTATTTTAGTATAGACTTTCTTAATCTCTAGAAGGATATCCTATGAGAAAAATATGCACACTAATAATTATGCCTGTATTTTAAACAGTGTATTTATACCTGTGTCACTTCCTCTGTACTTCGAAAATATACGACCTGTGTTGCACAGATGGGAAAACAGAGGTATTCACAGGAGGTGAAATAACTTCACCTGGAGGTCTTCTACAGGAAGGCAGATATACTGGTCTCAAAGCAGAACCTTATAATAAGTAGTATATTAAACTTATGAAGAGGTATTTGTAAGCTAACAAAACAGAAGCCGCACTTTAGAGATATCATTTGACATTTACTTTTCCTCCCACAGGAACTTTTTACACCGGAGTGCAAATTCAAGGAGTCTGTCTTTGAAAATTATTATGTAATCTACTCATCCATGCTCTACAGACAACAGGAGTCTGGGAGGGCCTGGTTCTTGGGGCTGAACAAAGAAGGGCAGGTCATGAAAGGAAACAGAGTGAAGAAAACAAAACCAGCAGCTCATTTTCTACCCAAGCCATTGGAAGGTGAGGTTCAGTCTATCGCTGGCAGATCCTCCCATAAATCTCACAAGAAGAAGAGGGAATGGTTTCTAAAATACCCTTTGTGAACGTGCGTGCCCTGCACAGTGGCCATTCCAAATGACAATCCCCAAGATTCATGGAGCAGTTTTGTACTTCGGCATGGTGATGCTAGAAAGGGAGTATGTAAAAACATTTTTTCCACGGATTAAGAGGTCATTGTGCAAGAAAAGAAATCTTTTGTGGAAGTGCATTGAGCTGTTTTTAAAATATTCTCTTGGTAGGGACAAAAGCTGTTGTGAGTCTTGCAGTGAGAAAATAGTCCTTTCATTAAGCAGAGTGAAATAATGGAAGTTGTAGGATAATTGGGAGATATAAAGGGAATGGATGAAATGTCAGCATTTCAAAGTAAAAGCTTTCTAACACAAAACACAAAGGTCTCTTTATAAAATAAATCATGCTATATTGCTTAGCCAATTGATGTAATGCACATAACTTGTGCAAGTTGGCCTTTAAACCAAGATAGAAGCAAATAAATGTCATACTATCATTACACACTAAAATGATGTCACACATTCTCTGAAAAACCATTCATTTAGATCTTGGAATTTTTGGTTTATCCTATGTATTCTGCAGACCTTTATAAACCTATGCTGCATTTTGCTTCTCGTCCTCGTGGCACTCCAAATTTCATTGACATTATTGCTACACGTAGCCTCAGTCATTCTGAATATTATCATGTTACTTAGGATCTGAAAACACGTACCTGAGTAATGATCTAGTTAGCAGTCCCATTTATTATAATATTTTAACTTATAATCTTTGATTGAAGAATTGGTTTGTTAAATGTTTCAGAGTTCCATCATAAGGAAAGAATCTGAATAATCCTGTTTTAATTTCATATTTGAACTCAAGTTGATGCCTTGATGCTTTCCTCGTCTTGCAAAAGCTTACAATATGTTCATGAGCTCTCAATAATATTGACACTTCATATGTCAATTCCTTTATATTAAATTCTAAGAATTGTAGAGAGGGAAAACCAGTGCATTATTAAAGGCAATGTCAATTCATATGGATTAGGAAAGAAGTGACTTTTTTCATTACTGTTTGGATGGTCAGACTCTATCAAAATAGCTTAGACAAGGCTTAGAAATAACTTGTTTCACATTGCCAATGAAAGTCATCAAATACGACCACTCTGCTATATAATTCCTTACTTTATAGTTCCACCTCATGTTATTCGACTTCATAGTTTTGTAGGTCATGGTGTTATTTCATCAAGCTCTTTTAATTAATCAGCAAAGGGTCCTAAACACATTTATGGGGGCACTCTGAAGACATAGATCATAACCAGCCTTATGTAGTTTAAAGAAGACATTTAATTTCAGACTTTCAGAAGCTTTAAAAGGATTTAGATTATGTCATTGGAAATGTTAGAACAAGTATATGACTAGTTAATGATGCTATGGGGCCCTTCATATTTATTATGAAACTTCACACCATTGAAGATCAAGGACAGTACTTTGATGCTCCTACCTCCTACCCTAATTAGCTGAGGGATGAAGGGATTGCGCTCTCTGGGGCAGCACACAGCCAGTCCCGAAATCATAGTGTGATGATTAATTCCTTTGACTGCTTTGACATGTCTTTTAACATTGCTCTGATATAAATAAATGCTACTGAAGCTAAGTATAAGTGGAAATACTACCTGATTCAGTGACACAGGAAGCGAAATTGAATTATCCAAGAGTATTAATCATTAAGGCAGCTTAATGATGGAACTGTGTAATTGAACATATGTATTTTCCTCAAAGGATTTAAAATGATTAGATCAGAACTGAAACCCAGGGGCAAACTTTTAATTTCTCTAAGAATTCAGTTAGTAGCTTAATATGGAGTTTTCTGCACTGCTACATTCAGTGAAGCTCAGTGGCTACTGCATAAGTTTTTGGAAAGGAGGAAGAAAAAAACCCAAAATTCTTGTGTACACTCCTCAGCACTGTCCTAGACATTTCTTCAGTATACACCTTAAGAGATCACGGCCAAGCTCCTCAGATTTGGGAGGCAAATGCACAAATACCTTCATAGAACTGGACCCAAGCCTAGTATTGCAACGCAGGACCGGAAAAGCACACTTAAGTCTAGACAACTGTATCCTATGATCCCATTTGTTAAGCATCATCTGTTTTATTTCATCATATTTTATTTCTAAAAACTTGCAGAATGTTTATTTAAGGGGGTATATATGTATACACACATATGTGTATATATATATGTATATTTTTGTGTGTCTGCCTCATGCAAAGACAGAACAGTAGTTTTTCATTTCCAAGGCCTCTATAGTTTCCATTAAACAAGCAAGCAGTTTCCTACTGCGTTTCTAAGGCAGATACAGAAGAATTGAGGAATTTGGAGGGTCAAGCAAGACTATCAGTCATGCAAAACAAAGTAAGTAGCTTCCCTCGCATACAAGAGGAACATGGCTTATATTACAGTATTGGTTACTGTAGAAAATTAATCCTATTTGAGATGAGATCTTAAATGAGATACATTCTTAAAAATGCCTCTCCTTGTCTCTTTTCTCCCTGCAGTTGCCATGTATCGAGAACCATCTTTGCATGATATTGGAGAAACAGTGCCAAAGGCTGGGGTAACTCCAAGTAAAAGCACAAGTGCGTCTGCAATAATGAATGGCGGCAAACCGGTTAACAAGAGCAAGACGACATAGCCAGATCCTCACAGGTGTTGTGACTTCCTGAGTCCTGAGCACAGTTGAGAGATTTATCCGTGCCAGACTTCCCCTCTTCTGTGTCTGCGGATCAGCCTGCGGCGAGTCGCAGGCTTGCCCGTTGCTGTTTCTGAACTGAGTTGTTGCAAGCGGATAAATCTCAACGTGTAGCTCCACCCACAACAAGAAGACACCTGGATGAACCAGCTAAACTCAGACCATGGAATGCCCTACCAGATATTGGAATGCCTTTTTAATATCTTTTCTGTGACTGTGACACTTCATGTGAATGACATACTTCACAAGTACACTTGATACCTTGCCTGCTGACAATTGCCCATAATCCCTTTTTGAGTCCAGTTTCAGCAAAATCCATGTGTTTAAGTTCTATTTTGTAGCACACAAATAATCAAATAATTTCTAGTTAGATGCTGTAAGCCTGTGCTATTATGGATTTCTCTTCTTCCCTTTTTTATAAGGCTGCTCGCTCCACTGTCTGTGACCTTTTGCAGGGATTGTGTTTCTCTATAACTTAAGTGTTGCCGGTGGCTTAGTTTTGAAAGCAATCAGGGAATCAGGAAGCCTTCAAAAACCTATTATTGCAAATTATATCTATAAAGAATAGGATTGTTGTCTCTGGCTTACAATACTGATTAAACGTGAATACTCTCTAGTAACTGATATTGTGCTTCTGAGGTTGGCATTATCATGGAGGGAAGAGTGTCAAACACAACCAACGGGAGGTTTTCTGAAATGAGTGTTTGGCATCCCCCTATAGTTTCTTTTTGTGTGTGTGTTTTATACATATCACAGGCTTACTGGTAATGGTAACATTTGCCTTGCCCAGCGAGCAAGACCCACTCATTTTTGGGAAAGTGGGTCCAAAGAATTTTGTAGGCCTTGTAGGCCTGAATTAAGGCTCATTTTTCATCTACTAAATCTTCATTGTTTGAAAAACAGCCACCACCAATAAATAAAAATAAATAAGACTAACCAGAATTGTGCTACCTAAATCCATTTCAAATACAATCCTTTCCTGTTTTTAAAGAATCGAACTTAATGCCATTGTTATTTTTGGCTGAATCCCACTCCTACTTAGCAAAGCATGGGCAAGGATGTTGTGTTCTTTTTTGCAGCACCAATGCAAAGGGTAGTTACAAATTATAGTTTAATATTTCTGGTGTTTTACAAAAAAATTTTAAAACTCGACATATTAAAAAACTTTATTTTTAGCTACGCATGCAAAGTCCGGTCCTATGTATCTCCTCACTGATATCCCACTACGTACCTCCACCCGGCTTCCTAGGATAATATGCCCACCAAATTGCTAGATTGAAGGTGCCTTGCCTTGATCTCTGTATACTGTACTTTCTCCTACATGAACCTAGAAGAAATCAGAAACATTATAAAATCAGAGCCTTGGGTCCCATTACCAGAAACACTACCAACACTTCGAGTTTGTCACTTGTGAGCAATGAAACCAATGTTGGGGAAGGGGGAGGGAAATTTAGAGAATGCCACAGAGATGCCACTGAAGTGTTTCGCACTTAGTCACGGGTTTTCAGAAAGCTGAAAATATGGGTACTCTCTGTATGTTAAGAAGGTATTTCTTTCTCAGAAATGGCAACAAGGACCAAACTGTACCTCAGTCGGGAAAACTGTGTGGCAACGCTCTCTTGGCCTCTTGCTGTTACCATGCTATCTAAAGACAAAAAAAAAGGAAAGCATCCATTCCTTTTTAGCATCGTATTTCTGGCAATTTGTTTTATCATGTCTTTTCGCTGAAGTCCCTAACAGAGGCCGCAGGTTGTTTCAAACTCCCTGTCTGCTCAGCTGAACAACTGATTCAGTCTGAATGAACTCTTCATGCGAGTTTTCAAACGTGTTCTCTTCTTATAAGCGACATTTAGCTCACTCTTCACAGAGGCTACTGTAAAGCTGCTAAGATAGTCCTTTTTTTCGTAGGCCACACTTCCTTGTTTATATATGTAATATGAGAACAGCAAGCTAACACTTTATGTTGGGTCTTTCTAGGGAGGGAATGAGTTAAGCATGAACCCCACTATCCATGTAGAGAAAAAAATAATACAAACTTATTCTAATACTGTGAAAAAAATGCAAAGAAACTCTGACTTAGAGTGTGTCCTTGCCGGCTAGCACGAAATACATGTGCGTGGGAAAAACAACACTTTATTAAAAAAACTTTAGTGCACCCTGCTCATCCCATCTGGTCCAGTGGGATCTGTGCACCAGCCCCGAGAAAATAAAACAAAACCAAACCAAAGCAACTCACATGGTGAGCTGGGGGCTTGCTCTGCATCTGGAGGACCCATGGGAGGAAGCAGCCTTGACATTGTACTGTCTACTGGGTCCCAGAGGAGGCCTGGGCTTTGCTACCATTGTAGGAGGAGCACTTCACAACATTTTGAGTAAAATGATTCTCTGAAGGCTACATTCTCTCTTACCTTAATTTCTTAAGAGTTCATGAGGAGGGAATACGTGTGTTCATGTCCCATCCAGCCATTTCTTCACTGTCCCAGTGTAAGAGCCTGGGGAGAGACAGGGCTGGAGGCCTGGCTGAGCCATGCAAGGAGGTTCCTGTTCATGGCCTGATGCTGCATAAGTTTTGTTTTCAACGTTAAACTTTTGGTCCTGGGTAATTATGCTCTGCAAATCAGTTTGGGGGGCTATAATTAAGGCCAGATTTCATGCAGTTAGTTCATGCTGGAAATGCAGCATTTTTTTTTCTATTATTTTCTGGTTTTGTTACTATGGGCTAAAGCATCTGTGCGTTTAATCTAATGAATAGATGTCCTAAAAAATATTTTTTCTACAGTCTGTTTAAACATAGCAAAGGGGGTTTTGTGCTTGTTTCCTTCCTTTAATTTTGTGTCTTGTCTCACCTGTTGCATGGGAAGAGGATGGCAAGGATGAACTGCATGTAGTAGGTTGTGTCTATCAAAGAACTGTTGGTCTGTATTACTAAATTTACGTACATATTTTCAAAGAGTTTGTCTGCATTGTACAGTTTGTGTTTATTCTTATTTGTTGTATACACGGATTCAACATGATGAATAAAACATTTATACAAAGGCATACCAGAAAACAACAAAAAAGATTATGAAAGAAGTAAACTGTGCAAAACATCATTGCACTGGCCACAGGATGGTGAATCTTCATGTAAATAGGTTGGCAAACTCAGTTCTCCCCTTTTACCATGCCAAAGAAAATTTTAGCTCCTTAATATAATACCTCTCTTGCTGTTCTCCAGGATGAGACTTCACCATTTTCTTCCCTCTGAAATTAATTTTGCTGTTAAGTGAAAGCTGTTTTCAGCTGTCTGTTGCTACTAAAGTACTGTATAGTAAACCTGATGGAGTCAATTTGTATTTACAGATTGGATTTTTAGTACTTACATGTCCAGCTGTCTGTGAATCTGCAGTGTTCCAGATCTTGAGCATGCTTGCTTTGTATTTTGTTCTTCTTCTGGGTTTTATCTAATCTCTGAGAGACTTTTCGCACAGCAATCCAACCTCATCTTACCATTTTATATGTTAACAATGCACATAGTCATTACCTCTTTTTCTTTTTTTTTAATCTGTATTTCAGCTACAGTTCTATTTGGCAAAATCAGTCACATCTGCACAGTTTTAGAAATCCAGTTTTAAGTAGATATAAACTACGTCAACAATGCACCGTTTTGTTGTACTTCAAAAATTTTATAAATACGCAAGAATCCTTATGAGATTCCTCACATGATAGACCCTATAGAAAGTTGTCTATAGCTTTTAAGTGCTTTGTAGTTCACATAACACAGCTTGCTTAATTTGTGGGGGTTTTACCTACCCTCAAATAATTTTTTAATGTACTGTCGTGTTCATAAACTTTAACTTGTGTAGTCAGTTTGGTCCTTAACAAACTCCCTTCCCCCCGAATATAAAGTAAAGCAATTCACTTTGACTATGGTATATACCTGAAACAACACTAAGAACTCTGGCTTTTTTTGTATATATTAGGAAACTTTTTCTCTTGGTTTAAAACCACTGTAAGCAATGGAGGTAGCAATGCAGTCTGTTTGGTCCGTGCATTAAAAGTGTGTTTTGCTGATCCATCTGTTTATTGGTATAAAAAAGACATTATTCAGCTCCATTCAAATGGGAATGCAAGTACAATTAGACTAAGTAAGGAGTTTATCTTTCTTTTAAATGCCCCTTTAGATAAACTCATATTCTGTGGAATGCATTTTAAAACGTCTAACAACATGGGGATTTTAGTGATGACTAATGAAAATGCTATGACTTCTTTTTAAAGATGTAATAAAATTTTTGTTCTACTACCTAGTCACAGAAATATTCAACATTGCTTTCTTCATCACAGTATCATTTGGCTGTATCATTTAGCTACAAAGTGAGATGTCATTCTGTAAAGAAGCAAGGGCAGCGCATCAGAAATGTCAGAGCAGGTACATGATTAAATGTTCACCTACGTGTCTCTAAAAGAGAGTATGGCCAGGAAAAGAAGGATCGCAAGCAGGATAATAATTTAGAGAAGAAAATCAATCCACAGCTGGTTTATAGATGATATTGCAGATATGTTGTATACAATAGGCATAATCCCGCAGGTCTATTGTAGAAGTATTCGGCACACTTCTGGATTGTGTTCTTTCTCTCATAACAAGAAAGCAAGGCTATGGTATCTTTTGTTTACAAGGTTTATCAATCTAGCCAGTACGAAATCCCCATTTATCCTATTTGGTTTTGCCATCTAGAACTGCCTTTTGCCACAGGCCTGGAAGCAAGTTTTTACAGGCCCTAAGGCATGAAGAATAAAACGGTATATTTCACACCTCTTCCTGTTTTCACAATTTACGTATCTGGAATTCCTGTCACAGGGTTTGAGGTGTAAAATCACAACTTCTTAATACAACTATTATTTTCACATATGTGGAATATTAATCCTATTCCTTCCAATTTCATTTTTCTAGTAAGGAAATGAGCCACAAAACAGATATACTGGGAGTTACATCACCAGTTGCCTCAGCATGAAGAGTGAAGGAAATGTTCAATCAACATTATAAGAAACAGAATAAAAATTGGAAAGGAATTTATGTATACATTATATTTTTAGTAGTCTTAGTTAACACTTTAAGGTTTATAGCGATAGCACCATTTTGTTTGATAACTTACATTTTAATGAACCACTAACAGTAGCTGTCTTAGAATACTCTAATATTTTTCCATGTGTACCTTAACAAACAATTTGGATAACACTTTTTGAAATGCTATGGCTATATAATCCATGCATTAGCCAAAATTCTGGAGATGATTGTTTTTCAAAAAAAACCCTAGCTAGAAATCAGAATGATCTTACTCTAAGTATAAAAATTTAAAATTAAAACGATTTACAAAGTAAAACGCATCAAATATGACATTGCAACCCTCTAAAGAATTGTTCTTTTGTCTGTGAATATGAGTACCTGAAATATCACGGCTGATCTACAGTATATATAAATCTGCTTATCATGCCATGAAAAAAATCAAAAGCATCTACTGAACCTAGATAAGGGTTTTGATTATCTAGTATTTTCTTATTACAGTACTAAATAAAAATGGAAGTAAATCAATGAAAACTTTGTATCTTTCATTGTTTACACTCTGATTCAACAGACGAATGTATATGCAAAAAACCCACATTATAAAGTGATTCAGGTCAGAGGTATTCATAAATATAAATAAAACCAACAATCTGTGCTCTCCAGACACCAGGGTTGACAAAAGAAAATATTCCTGTAAAACTCTACAGAGTTTAAGGATTATAAGTAGAAAATATAAACTATAATTTCAAGATGAATTTTACTTTTAAGATTCTTTATACCGTATCAATACATATTAGTACTCTGCTTGGTTTTTGTTTATCTAAAAAGAGAGCAGCTAGCAGCCTTGGGATGTATGTCTCATTATTTACCTGCATAACTTCTATAGAACTTTCTATAGAAATTGTGCATGGACGTGTGGTGAATATACTCCCTGAGAACATGAGTTTCACAAGTTTTGTTTTTAGAAAGAAAGAATCCAGGTTAAGGAAAAAAATTGGATAAGAGAAGGAGCAAGCTACATGGGAAGGGGGGATAATAAAAGTGACCAAATGAAATTGTTTAAATTTTTTGCATTCTATTACATGTACTCTACCGTTGTATGTTCCTACTCCAAAATTGTCCTTTCTAAAAGAAAACTAATTTCTAGATTAATAATGGAAATATCTTTTTTGTTTGACTTATAGTTCTCTGATTTCTGAGTCATGTAGCTCTTCAAAAATCAGGACCTTGGCACCTAAACCACAATGTTACAGTCTGGTATTAAAAAGAAATATTTTCCAACCATTTAAGTAATCTCTTGCTCAATCATGGTTTCACAAAATGTAAACACTTTTGAAACTAAAATGTATGTATATTTTTTTGCTCTAAAGAATTCAAGGGCTGCCAAACCTACATGTATAAAAAAGAAGACTCATATGTAAATAAGTTAGGGAAGTCCCAATAGTTGTACATCGTTCATAACTCAGTGTGAATTTCACACTGAGCAGCATTTCACACCATTGGAAAATAAAAATAAAATTTTTGTTCATACCACTGTTTTGCTCGTATTTACTGTATTAAAGCTTTAATTACTTTGTTGCCATTGTCTGAACATCTTTGGCTGAGACCAGACTACTGCATAGCACAGCTGATTTTTCAAGTCAGTTGACCTTCAGGCTCCCCACTTCTACAAAAGCAGCTAAATTCAATGAATACCATGTGTGACAGTGCAATCTGTTCCAAACAGTGATTTCTAACAGCATACAGAATTGTCATCCTGGAAGTTGTTAGTATAACAAATTTTCATTTTCTTTCAAGAGGACTAGGCAACTGTACATACATAGAACAGTGTGATAAAAATACATATGAATTGCAGGATACATATTCAGAATAACTAATCATACATTTATATCTTTATTGCTTTCTTTCCTTATACTCCTATAGGTTATGTATTTGAAAGTATCATAGTATGTAGACTAGATAACCTACTTACTGACACATTAACCACAGAAACTAAGTTCTTTTATGGACAAGGGTCTGTTCAAACATTTTGGGTCTTCAGCCTATGGTTGTCAGGTAATTGGACCTCAGTTATACAAATACAATTCTTTGACCAAATGAAAAATAATGCATGATTTGATAAGCTTCTTTACAACTTCTCTCGATTTATGAGCTGGTGCATAATCAGGATTGTTAGAAACAAAAAAGTGTCAATGTATTTGTCAAATACCATCAAATTAGTCAAGTTAATTATTTGACAAATATTCAATTAGTGCTCCTCATCTACAGGAATACTGTTGCATACTGATATGGAGAGATGACAACCAAGTAAATAACGTTAAAAAAAGGCTTTCTTACACCTTTTCGAAAGGTTGCTTAAGAAATAGCCATTATGGGTATAATCTCAGTCCCACTGAATTTACCAAAAAACTCTGGAGAAGTTCCACAGGGTCAGTATTTTATGATTTCACCTTTCAGAGCTTGAACAGTCCTGCTCACAAGGCATTTTTAATTTTTTTTCTTTCAGTTTTGTCATGCATTTGTTTAAGGAGCTGGCCCTCAGATGAGTGTCCTAGATTATTTACACCCATCTATGTGTGCATGAATGCACACCCACACCTATATGCTGAATACTTCTGAAATTAAATGTTCTAGCAGCCTAAAGAACAAACAAACAAACAAAATCCTCAGTCTTTGACATCCTTTGTTAAGGGTATTCTCTGCCCAGCCAGATTTCACAAGCATTTCCATTCCATCCTTCCCAGCACTCACAGTTTCCACAGCTACAAACACCATTGCCTAGAAGAGAACGAATAAAGGGCAATTATCATAATTGAAATGTACTACATTAAAATGTGTTTTATGGGAAGTAAAATGCCATGCTAAAGTACTTGCATTGTTCCTTTATTGTTGCCCCCACCCCTATTTTTTTCTTTGGAAGGAAGCAATTACCGTAACATTGCATTAAGAAGCCACCCCAAACCAACAGTTACAAAGCATTAATAGCATCCTCTCAATAACTCCATAAGCAGAATTGCAAATATTGTAATTACGCTGCCACTGTTTGTACCCAGCTGTTGAGGTTCAGTATTCACACTGTACCTCAAGGTGCAAGGAAAAACAAGATTACTTTTAACTATCATGCAGAAAGAAAAAGACGTAAAAAGTTACAAACAGAGTAGCAATAAAAACATCACTCTGAACATGAAAAACTTCAAACTTAAATTCTCAGAAGTGCTATACAAATAAATAATATCTCAAACTCTCTACTAGATGAAAAATGTGTTGGCCCAGTCTTGCAGCAGGAAAACATTAAGTACTGAGACCCATAGTTTCATTTTATTTCAGTGTTTTTCCCGACTCCTAGATGCTCAGCTTGAGACCTCCACAGCCTGGGTTTCCAATGTGAGCTCCTCTTCCTACTGACTTTATGAAGACCCACGAATAGCTGCTGCAGCTGAAGATAAGGCTCCTGTTGCCTCTACACTGGCTTCTTTCCCCCAGAAAATGACCCTTTTTAATAGGGCTAGCTGGAAGTCAAAATTTACTACTGTCAGCCCTCCCACTCTGACTCTAATTGGCTTGCAGATTTCCTCCACATCTAATAATTGCTTGGCAAAAATTTTCTAAAATTAAGATTTGTAACAGGAAGCAGCCAGTGAGTTAATTTAGCAGTTCCCATGTTGCTTCTTGTCACTGGATTTGTCATGAAGGTTTGTTGGCAGCCTGCCCGTTTCTAGCCGCATCTGCCACCTGAACTCTCAGACAACGTTAAGGTGAAACCGCTTTAATCACTAGCCATCACGTCATCAGGAAAACTGTCAGGCATTTCAGCCTCCCACAGAGAACTGTCTGATTGCCAGGAAGCTCTGTTAGCCCACACAGCTACGCCTCTCACCTAGCGAATATCATCAAAGTGCATTTTGTCTGTGACTTAAGTGCATTATACACATAGAAAGCCCAGTAAGAAAACAAAAGTTAAAGAAATCTTCTGATCACAATGCTGACACTGTACGTCCTGTGCCAAAAAGCAGTAACTTGTAGTCTGTTACAGAGAAAATTGTTGACAGATTTCATAGCTGGCTTACTAATTTAAATTCATACTCAGGCTTTCAACTGCTGTTTTGAAACCTTAAGTTGATTACCACGCTGCACAAAGAAACAATTACGGCAGGTTTGAATAACCAGCAAATGCACTTCCTCCATCAGTGGAGAAAGAAGAAGCTGGGCTTTGTGTAACAGAATTCCCATCAACACAGTTTGTTTCTTAGAGCAATTAGGGGTTAGCCTGTACTGCACCTGTGCAAATGAGACCGTCGTGTTTGTCACAGTCTCTGTCATCACATTCACAGAAATCGCCCGAAATGTACCATTCCTGCAGTGAACAGATGCACTTTCCACAGTGGCAGGAACCTGAAATCACAAAAATTATTACTCACAGTCAGAAAGAGCATTGGCATTTTCAGACTAGAAAATCACATCCACAGACACACACATGCACACTTACACACATGGGCATACGCACAAAATTGCTGCCTAAGAAGCTATTGTATAAAAGAAAAAAATCAAGCTAAAAGCTTTTTGAATAAAAGGATTCTTTTGGGGTGAGCCACAGTATGGTGGGATGTTACTACTAATTCTTTGATTCTGCTGTTTCACTTAATCAGGACTCACATTTTGAAGCTTTCCTTTGGTTTCAGAGACCTACAATCAGGGCCGTTGTTCCCAGTAACTGTTCTTTTTTTTTTTCACTAGAAAACCTCAAATTGTCCCTGATCCACTGTTACTGAAGGCGGTAAAACAGTACTCAGCAAGAAAATGGTTCTCCTCATCTAAAGCCTTTGGGGATGAGTGCACAAAAGACCAGAAGTGCCTAAGACTAACATTTAGACCCCCAAAATCCTCACCACCACAAGTGAAGCTGCTCCACCTCCCATAGAATTACTAAATAGTTGCTCTAGGTCAGAAAGAGTTTGTGCACGTAAAGGCAGATCAGCAGTTTGCTCATTCCTGCAGAGTACCCCAATGGTTCTTACTGGGTTAAACCACTCCCCTCCTCCTCATCGATGTCAGTTCACACCCCCACAGGCAAAGGAGGGACTTTATGTGACATTCAGGTGATGCCATAACCCACTGAGAACTGGTGTAGCACCAGACACCTCTCTTTTAAGGGAAGACTTATTTTTAAAAACAGTAGCAAGCAGGACCCTGGGAACTACCAGCCTGTCAGCCTCACCTCTGTGCTTGGGAAGAGCACGGAACAGATCCTCCTACAAGCTAAGCTAAGGCACATGGAGGACGGGGAGGTTGTTTGAGACAGCCAGCATGGCTTCACCAAGGGCAAGTCCTGCCTGACCAACCTAGTGGCCTTCTGTGGTGGAGTGACTACACCATTGGACAAGGGAAGAGCAACAGATGTCATATATCTGGACTTTGTAAGGCCTTTGACACAGTCCTCCACAACATCATTCTTTCTAAATTGGAGAGGCAAAGATTTGGTGGGTGGACTGTTCAGTGGATGAGGAACTGGTTGAACGGTCGCATCCAGAGAGTACCGGTGAACAGTTCAATGTCCAGATGGAGATCGGCGACAAGTGGTGTCCCTCAGGGCTCCGTATTGGGAGCTGTATCATATAACATCTTCATCAATGACACAGACAGCAGGATTGGGTGCACTCTCAGCAAGTTTGCAGACAACCCCAAACTGAGTGGTGCAGTAGACACGCCTAAGGGACGGGATGCCATCCAGAGGCACCTGGACAAGCTCCAGAAGCGGATCCATGTGACCCTCATGACGTTCAACAAGACCAAATGCAGAGTCCTGCACCTGGGTCAGGGCAACCCCCACTATCAATACAGGCTGGGGATGAAGGGACAGAGAGCAGCCCCGCCAAGAAAGACTTGGGAGTACTGGTGGATGAAAAGCTGGACAAGACCCAGCAACATGTGCTCTCAGCCCAGAAAGCCAACCGTATTCGGGGCTTCCAGAGAAGTGTGGTCAGCAGGTCAAGGGAGGTGATTCTGACCCTCTGCTCTGGTGAGACCCCACCTGGAGTCCTGCGTCCAGCTCTGGAGCCCTCAGCACAGGAAAGACATGGACCTGTTGGAGCAGGTTCAGAGGAGGGCCACGAAGATGATCCGAGAGCTGGAGCACCTCTCCAGTGAGGAAAGGCTGAGAGAGTTGAGCCTGTTCAGCCTGGAGAAGAGAAGGCTCCAGGGAGACCTTCTAGCAGACTTCCAGTGTTTAAAGGGGTCTTATAAGAAAGATGGGGACAGGCTTTTTAGCAGGGCCTGTTGTGATAGGACAAGGAGTAATGGTTTTAAATTAGAAGAGAGTAGATTTAGACTGGATATAAGGAAGAATTTTTTTACAGTGAGGGTGCTGAAACACTGGCACAGGTTGCCCAGAGAGGTGTTAGATGCCCCATCCCCGGAAACATTTAATATCAGGTTGGATGGGGCTCTGAGCAAATTGGTCTCGTGGTAGATATCCCTGTTCATTGGAGGGGGGGTTGGAGTAGATGACCTTTAAAGGTCCCTTCCAACCCAAAGCGTTCTGTGATTCTAAGACTCTGAGACATCCCTACCTTCAAGAGAAGGTTCATGGCTGTGAATCCTGGAAAGGTATGGTTGCCCCTAACAGTTTGTCAGGAAGCCTGTAGCCCGAGAAGGGGGTGAGAGAGGCTTATCTGCAACTGGAAATGCGACTAGGAGATAATGCTTCTGCCTGGCTAATTCCAATACCCAGCTGAAGAGAGCTATCTGGCTTTTACAGAGCCCATCCTCAGCTGCCTATACAGAGTTCGGACATTTAAACCCCAAGGTGGGTTGCTTAATAACTGCTGAGAAAAAAAAATCCTTTTGTGGACCTAGCCCTAAGAACTGGTTACAGCACAAACCAATACAAAATTCTCAAAACCCAAATAAATTATAACAAAGAATACATACATAGTGTTCAATTACGTGAGATGAAGTTAAAAAAAAAAGCCACCAAAGAAGTGGTCAACTTTTAACAGAACGTGCTTATAAATGGGTTAGATGCTGTTGAAAATCCCACCCTCTTACAATATTTCCAGAATGATTGCAGTACAAAGTCACCAATGTGTTTAACGCCATATTAAAGAAAAATATATAGAAGGAAGCTTAATTATGCCAGAATATAACCTAAACAGAACTCATTGGTTTCTGAACAGGGCCTGAGCCAAAGTGTATAGAATGATGCTTTTCCATCTTTCCATTCCTTTCAGTGACCTCTGAATAAAATCCATAGTAAAAACTCAAACACGCATTTTTTTTAAAAAATATGGACCTGTTGATATCAACTAATTTTCCCCAGGTTTTTCCCATAAATACTGAAGTGTCTCCAATCACTGAAACTTAATTCTTTAAAACTTCAGAACATTCTCATCAAAGTATGTAATTTTTAAATTAAAAATGTAAGTAGTTTAGTGTTTATTGTAAGTTGACAAAAATTAACTAATTGCCTAATTTTAGGGAAATGCCGTTTTAACTTGGAACATATGGAACATACAAATATATGCAGGAAGAGCTAGTGATTGGAACATTTGGGGTTGGGAGTGTTTGGTTAAGCATCTACTTTTTTCCTGAGTTCTGAGTATTGCTTACTGAGCCATGGGCACAGAAAATACTGACATTCTCACAAGGATAAAAAATGCCATTTTATAAAGAGGCAGTGCAGGATAGCGTACATATCGCATGATCACTGTGTAACAGCTACACTAAGATGTACTTCAGGGTAGTTTAAACTGAATGTCTCTGTTTATACAAACTACAAGGTACAGACAGCTGAAAATAATGATGAATAGTATAAGAATTTTAGTGAAATTAAAGCAGTTAATATGAGCATGACACTGTACGAAATCTGAAGTCATTCTGCATAAGCAAGCACTGATGCTGCTACTGACTGATGCCCACTATGTTTAAAACTATTTTGCAGGAGATACAGCAAATTTAACACCAAGTCAACCAAGGAAGATCAGGATCCATAATGTAAAATCTGTTAGGGAGAATGAATGTGTCATGTCTTTTCCCTGAGCAGAGCATGCTGCGCTGGGAGGCTCCTCAGTTTAATTAAAACCAGTCTAATGAGTTGCAGGGTGTTCCCTGGGATGCCGGCCAGCTCCTCTCGGATAGGATTTGGCTCGTTACCTAGCCCGCATCCTGCACCGTTACAGTAGCCATCTGCAGCCCTACATTTACTGCCAGGGAGGCAGCAGCGTGGTGGGTGTTGCTGTTTTCCTTGGGAAGAGCTTTTACTACAGGTGGCACAGCCAGCGAGCCAAGATTTTGAAAACAGCCTAGAAATGTGGATGTCCAACTTTGCTTATATTAACAGAGTGTAATTTTCAGAAAGAGTTCAGCAGTTATCTGCTGAAAACCAGGACTCCCTAGAGTCTATTAAGTCTGACAGACAGAAGCTCAAGCTCCCTCAACCCATTACAGCACTTGCATATCTTGGCTAGGTTTCCACCAAAGATGGAATAACCACCATTACTGCAAGGGTTGAAATTCCCTTTTATTTCATGAATAATGGTTACTTATTGCTCAATGTAACGAAACAGAAAGAACAATTTGACATTTTGACCTCTGGATAGTGCCAGTCACACTAGCTATGAACAATGTTTTAAAGTATGGGTACCCAGTAAGACATGATTTCCAGACACAAATTAAAGCATCAAGAACAGGTTTGCCTAAAAAACCCCAACCAACCAAACAAATAAACAAACAAACCAGCAAACAAAAATCTAAGCTTGGAAACAAAAGTTACAAGTAATTTGAGTGTCTTTTCCTGTGATCCCCATCCTGCTCAGAGAAGAGGCAGGAGATAGTAGCCTCCTTGGATGTTCACTGGCCACACACTTCTGGAAGTTGTCTTACATAAGTATTTCTCTGCTGGGACAAGCACTTAAATGTGACCAACTGTTCCCACAGTAAAGCTACCATAGCCTCTAATCTGACATAGCTTTACTATATTGACTGTCCTCAGGGCAATCTTCTATCACACTGAAAGCTGACCTGTGCTTGGAGACCAAAGAAACTTAAAAATCTCACCAGTGTTGCTGAATATGGACCTAGGGTCAAGTTTGCAACTCCCATAGAAAGTAAATGCTGTTCAGCAATGCACTACAACTTCAGAAAATCTGGGCTTTGGGAGCATCCATTCACGCAGCCAGGTTTAAAAGCACTACCCACTACCTGCCTGCAGCTGGTTACAACCTAGAGCAACTTTCAGGCTGCTCCAGCCTACCTCAGCAACCAGATCCCACACCAGCACCTGCGCAGCATAGTCAATAGAAGGAAAATAATCCGTGACGTCTCTTCAAATTCCTGCCAGATTAGCTGCTCCCAAAGCTTTAAAGTAAATAGTAGCCTTGATACATGTGCTGAAAGATGACAGTTCTTGGCGCAAGACCCACAGGCTGGAATAAATTGCTCTTGGCCACCTTTACAAAAGGTAGCAGATAATAAAAAAATTTTAAAATTCAACATAATTTTTCACGTTTACATTTATTTAGAATTTGATATAGCACATTTTGCTGATTTTAAGCATATTTGCTCACCTTTGTAACTTATATTGAAAAATTACAGAGAGACCAAGACTATGAGAAGAAAAGTCAACCTCTGCAGTAAAACAGAGTAACTCTATTTCTCCAGTAGCTCTGTACCCTCTTACATATACATTAATTTCAAGATAGCCATATCATCTGGAAACAATAGAGAAACAGTGCAACTTCCTCATTTTCTATGACATTGCGATGACTGGGGGGAAACAAAGAAAATAAAATGGTGCTCTGCAGAAGAATTCCGATAAGTGAGAAGACAGATGGAAGGCCAGGCTGGAAACCCCATTTAAATTTCCTTTGCACTGAAATAAAAGTTACCAAAGGGACAATTGGAAATCTGTCTGATGTAGAAGGCTCCTAACTGTTTTTCCAGCTAGCAGGTTTCTTCTCTGTCTACGCCAAGGATATACAAACAGAGGAAATGGCACGTCCAGTCTGGAGTGGGTACATTCTTGCCCCCAGCCAGTCCCACCACCCGTTTTTTGTGTGTTGTCTTTCAAATGTATTCTAAAAATAGGCAGTTTATGCTGTGGGGGACCTAAAAAATCCTGTTTCCAGTAACGCAATTTCCTAGCCTGAAAGACTGCAAGGTAAGAACCTTGGAGAACAATTTCAGCTAATTATCAAAATTTTCTAAATTTTATTCCTCCCTCAACAATGTTTTATAGCTGGACTGCAGCTGGTGCAACCACCTGAATAAAAATTAGTAAATGAGAGTTTGTGGGATTCTGTCATGGGGGCTGCAGATGTCTACATTTCCTTTGCTGCTGTGTTGGGGAGTGGGGTGATTAAGCATACCAAGTGTTGCTGTTAAACTCTCTGCTCCACTTACTGTTGCCTGAGATATCACGTTTGCCATCTTGCCCGCTGCAGTGTTACTGCAGGCAGTGCTCCTGTCCCTCAAAATGGATGGAGCACTAATGGTTAGTTTATAATGTAGAGCTGTTCAATGCAGACCATCAGATAAACACATACAGGAAATTATATGTTATTAACAAATTGCATAGGAAAGCAACGCTGCTGAGCATGTCCGGCTGTGGTGGGTGTTTGACAAAATGGATGTAAGTGCATTATGGAGCCAAATATAACATCCTTTTAATAATAGGTGCCTTTGTAAGCAAGGGTTACGAAACAACAACCCACTGCCATGCACTTTAGTTTTCCAGAACATGGTTGTTTTCCTCTGCCGGGGCACTGACATGGGGTAGCTCAGCTGCCAGTTCTTACCCTTCCCAGAGCATAATATGCCATCCGCTGACTCACAGAGACTTCTGCTCTCCTCCTCTGTCATGTTGCACTTCCTTGAATGCTGGCACATTTTTCCAAACCACCCGTCCTGGCAAATGCATCGGCCGCATGAGCAGATACCATGGCCTGTAATGACACCAAGGTTTGTTATGAGCAAAATAAGCAGAAAGCAGTGACTGCAGTCACAACCGAGATGGTCTTCAAACCTCTGCAGTGTGAATTTCATGCTATGGGACAGACAGACAGACAGACAGATGGACAGCACAGCTTCAGGGCAGGGTGGCCTTCTCCAGTTCTCTCATTCTAGTGATGAACAGGGTGCCCTAGTGATGTGCGGAAAAGCATAGGCATGGCTCCCCTGATCCAAAAAGCTCAGCATCAACTCAGCCTTATGTGATGTCCCTTAATCCACAGTGTACTGAGGACAAACACAGTCCCTTCCTTCCCATGTCTTTAATCCTGCAATCCAGTGCCAAAGATCTCACCTGCGTATCCCATACTGTCACCTGAAGAAGCAGACCCCAGCATAGGGCTGAGAGCAGTGCAGTACACAGCAGAACAGGCAAGGGAACCAAAAGCTGCATTTTCCTCTAGCAGCCCATTACCGCTGGTTCTCTGCCACAGTGCATGGAGCAGCTGATGTGCAAAGCCCTCAACATACTCTGCAATTACTATAGATTATCTCTTACAGTACAGGATGAAGATAATTCCCCCAGGGTCTCTTGCAATTGCTAAAACTGGTTGTACATAAACCCAACTGGCAATCTGTGAAGAGTTCCTCTCATCACCCTAACAACATCCCGTTTGTCTTCTGCATCTCTTCTTCAGGCATAGCTATCCCAGTTCCGTCATTTAAAGGTTTGGCACTTTCGCTCCTGATACTGCAGTGAAATGCTGAGGGGGGAGCAGGGAGGAGGGAGAGACCAGAGCATTCTCCAGAGCACAGGCTTGTATGACCCCAAGGCAGGACTTTGAAGAAGAATGAGCACGCTACCATCGTGGGCTTTCTCCACAGGGACGCATAGATTTCAATTCCCAGATCAAGAAAAGAAGCCTGAATGAGACGGAAGATGGACAGGCAGAAGAACAATACAGGAGTGAGGACATAGCTATCAAAAGTTGATTCATAATAAGGGGGAAAAATAGGGGGAAATGAAAGAGATAGGTAATGACAAGTGAAGGAAAGGTCAAAGAAACTGTGTAACATGGATCAAAGATAGAGCCTAGAAGCTATAAATGTTTTAAAAAAGAAAAAATAGAAGATTAAATTGAAATTTTAAGAATTATTTGTACTTAGATTAATAAAAAAGGAAAATATGTTGACTAGTAAACTAAGGGGAAAATCTGGCCAGGAAGAAGGACAAAGTGACAACAAACGCAGACAATACAGAAATGGAAAACAGAAGAAAAAGAAATGTTTCCCAACCAAAATTTCACTTTTCTACCTAGAATAATATTTCTGCAGCAGACAAGACCATTCCTTAGCTAATCAGTTTCCTGGGCTTAAAAGTAAAGCATATATACCAGTGACTTTTGTCCTATCCTACCTGCTATGTAGGGCAAGGGAGGCGAAGTGAGGGGACTGAGATAATTTCGTAGCATGGGCTGGGAGGAAGGGAACAAGCAGTAGGAGTATCTGGCAAAGCACTGAGCTGTAGGATGCACGCAGAGAAGCAAACCAGCAATTTTGCTTTTCTAATTTGTGGACTTCTCATGATGCAACAGTGCAACTTGACATTGTAACCCGGGAGGCAGTACTCGTAAAAGCCCAAAGAAGAGACAAACCTTGTAGTCTGCTATAAGTGGAATTCCTTGTTTTACTGATGGCCAAATACTTTACAAATTTAAATTAGAAAATACTGGAAGCTCCAAAGTCTTGGAGTTGTCATTTACAACAATCTAAATTTTCAGAATAATTTTTGTACCTCAGACTATATATTGAATGGGTTATTTAAATCTTATTATCTATACAACTTTAAATGCTCAGTAACAATGACGCAGTCTCATCGTGACAGTATTCCCGCTCATTTCTGCAAGTGACATTCAGCAATCACAAATTTATATATAGGCATTTAACATATATCAAATATCACAAATTTATAATTAGCAAAAATAGAAGATTTACCTTCTGTGTTAGACTTTGAAACAAGAACAACTATGCCACAAACCATAATATGAGAGGTAGAAAACAAACTTATGTACTTTCCCATATGCTCCTTCCAGGTAGACAACGTGCGATCGTCTGTATTAACTTACTGTAGCTAAGCTTCTGTCAGAGCATTTTTATCTGCCTTATTTTTTTCTTAGTAGCATGTAGATTAAATCAGAGACTAGCTCAACCACTGAAGAGCAAAATATACAGCTGGATGTCAGTGCTGGAAAATTATTTTTGGAGATACAAATACTTATACTCATTTTAGCTACAAATGGGAAGAAATCCATGCTGATTTCACTGAGAAAATAATTTTATATCATTTTTGTGGTATAGCCATTACGATTTATAGAATGCAGAGACTGATCATGTCTGTAAAGCCTTTACACAAGTCAAATAAAAGGTAATGAATAATCAATTAATTCACAGTAAACAGTTTACAGTATACCACATAAAATTTTGACATGCATTTTTCCCGAGATGACCATTCCTCTCCTCCTTTACGCCACATAAATTCTCAAAACATAAAGGACTCTTTTGCTCTAAGGAATCCATTATACCAAAATAATATTTGCTCCTAGTTGACACCAGCTTGGGCAGCTGCAGCTCTTTGGATGCCTTATCCATTGGGATGGTGAATATGCAAGTGTCTAGCCTAATGCTTGTTTGCTCCTAGCTATCTTTCATGTGTGCTAGTCTGTGATTAACTGCTTTACAAGGTTTAGTTGTGTGTATCCTCCTTCCAGAGGCTTTTTGCACTTGCCTGAAGATGTCCAAACAAGCCAACTGAAAGGGAGAGGTAAAATATTACAAGCAACTGCTTTCAGTTGAATGTAATATTCAAACTACATTCAAAGTGTCCCAGTTTCATTCCAATGAATCCCAGGCTCTCAAAAATATGAGCAAGAGCAGCAACAAAAAGGGGCTGCTCTTGCTCATAGGTCCTTTTAGATCTGAATATAATTCCCTTCATAGAGGAGTATAAAATTCAAGAATACAGCAATCAGAGCAAAAGGTAAAAGAAAAATCTCTGACTGAAGAAGTCCAACCCAACTGAATTGGTTAACACGGTAAAATACTGATTTAACTACACAAATTAAGCAGATTTACTGGAAAGTGTTGGTCTATCATAGATTCAGATTTAACATGAAACACTTAAAATCACAAACAAATTGCATATTGCAATGGCTCTGAGACTATAGTTCTTCATTCATAAAAATCTGTGTTAATGAACATTTAAATATTTAACAGAATGTTTTAAACATTAATCTCCAATCAAGAGAAAGACTGTGATCAGGGAGAGGCAAAGGAGAGAAAGAGATGATGTTGAAGATACTGTCACTTTGTTTAGAATTCTCAATAAACCCAATTTATCTAAACCAGAGGATTTAAATGTGAAATATGAATGCAGCAACAAAGCAAGCTGTGACAGATTATTAGCAGGTGTCCATTATAACCCAAATCAACCCAAAACAAACTGGACACCAGGATGAATTATTTCTTACTATGCCTGGAAACAAAACCGTGTGGTTGTGGGGAACTTCAGTTTAGGACTACTCATGCAACTGTTGATGGAGTTCCCCAAAAAACTGCATGATAATTTTATGATACTAAAGGCACCACTACATGGAAATGTGAGCATGATGAAAAAGCTTAAGTAATCATTGAAGAGGAAGATGGCTCTTATTTATAGAGTAATTGATTATAACGAAGGGTGAACTGAGGCCAGGCCAAACCAGAATTTGGCACTTCAGGAGAACAAGTTTCTCAAACTAAAATAATAAAATAAGTATATAATAAAGTCAATATTAACCAGAAATGGGGGGAAAAAGTCTTCAGCTATAGAAATATGAATTTGATTGTCCTGTATGAAGAATTTATCTGATAGACCAACAACATTTTTCCACAGGAAGAGAGAAGCTGGCCCATGTTTAATAGTGGAGAGACGCTACGAGTTAGGTATGAGGAGACTGTACAGCAAAAGTAAGAAAGACCAACTGGATAGCAAGCAATATAAATGAGAAATTTTGTTGTGAATAAAAAGGACATAATAGGAAAAAAACCATCAAATCCAAAAATCTGTAACTGGATGAAAAATATGAAGTTTTAAAAGTGTACTAGGAATATGAAAAATCTCAGCATAAAGCAGGATCTCTGATTTAGAACAATACAGTAAATGAAGTAAATATTTCTCTGTGTATTTAAATACAAACAGAATTTTCTATTTTTTATTACAGGACTATGATAAAGAACATTTCATTACAGTGTTAAGGTAATAGAATATTATAAAACATCTATCTGGGAGAAATATTTCTGAGTGAGAAGGCTTTCTTAACTGGTCCAAATATGTCAGAAGAGTTGGTAAAAACATTACTGGGTCACTTATTTTTTATTTTTATTTTTACTGAATAACCAGAGAATGCCATAAGACTGAAACAGTTCTGACAACTGCAGTTAGACAAACCTAATATAAATGTGAAGTGAAATACTAATTGTCTATCACGTTTCCATAACAGGTCACTTAATATTGTCGAAGTCTAATAGAGGTGGACTGTGGCTCCAGTTTGAGGAACACAACAGGCAGGCACCTCAGTAAACACTTCAAGTGAAACTGCAGTGAAAAGGGCTAATGCCATCCTCATAGGCATATAACAGGAGAGAAGTGAGTAGGAACAAAAATTAGTAGGAACATTTAGAGCACTGATGAGATATAGTCATTGAAGTCCCACAACTCACTGTGATATCCACATCTGAAGAGATTTTAAAAACTTGGAAGAGTCCCAAAAAGTTCCAAAGAATTCAAAGGGCAGAGAAAACAGCTTGTTGAAAGAACTTCAAAGATCTGTACCTGCTTAGGCTACGAAAAAAAAAAAAAAAAAGACTAAGAAGTGTTTCCGCAGGATCTGAACTACCTTTGAAAGTACTGGAATGGGGACTCTCAAACGACCAGAGAAAGACAGAGAACCAGAGAGAA